TAAGCAAAATCGCAGTTGAAAGATGCTAACTATACTTACTAAAGGTGAGAATGTGATTTGAAATCCTAAAAAAAAAGTTTATCAATAATAGGTTGAATAATAATTAATCTAATTTTCTGACAGTTTGATAGAAGTTGGGTATCACTGAAAACAAAACATTTTTAAACCCAATCATAATATTCATAATTTAGGTCTGTACCTCAAAATCAAACCATGCTCTCTCTCACACATTTGTTCTCTGACACACTTTGTTCTGTTGCTCATGTGGTGCTCTGTAAAGTTCATTCATTTCTCCTAATGTTTTTTCCCACTGTGCCTCTGTGTTAGGCCTGTATGAGGTTCACTGATCAAGGGCCACATTTGACCCTGATGTCTACAGCTCTCTGATGTAAAGAATATGAATGAGACAGGTTCCTCTCTCTGGTATCAGGCCAGAGTTTGTGCTTATCATCTCTCCAGGACATCAACCTTTCCATTCGGCCGTACCGTTACAATAACATCCCGGAAAATTAAACATTCTATGCAAACACGCCTTCATTTTATTACAGCAGATAAACAATGGCCACGGATAACAGTCTTTGGACAAGAATTTTATTAAAACTAAGAACGAGTGGATGATTTATATCAATTTTTTACTAAATATTACAAAATTAACAAATACACACAGAAAACAAACATAGCAAGATTTGTTTGATAAGATCAAATAGTTTGACATCTTTGTAAACCCTGGCTCAGTTTTCTTTAAAACCGCTGAAAATGTATTTTAAAATAAGCTGTACAATCATGAAGCAAAATAACATTTAATCTTCTTTCTTTTTTCTTTTATCATTTCCTGACAGATCCACTCTTCTTATCTTTCTTTCCTTTTGCTCCCAGATTCTCATAAACATCTTCATTTTTTCTGAAAAAAGGGAAAAAGAAAAGAAATCAGTATAACTGATTAGTCACTAACTTACAGTAGTCATCATAACCCATCCCAACTTCTAGAGGAACAAAGGAGTGAATGAGTTTTCAATGTTTCAAAGTTTTAATGTTTTTGTCGGCAGCTTGAGCTATTAACTGACCCAAACCACAAAAA